GAGAGGCGAAGGAAGTGAGATGTGGAGTGGACTGAGGGCAGTTCTGCCTGAAGGTATTCCGGGGACCCTAATCACCTTAAATGGCAGCCAGGGCAAAGTCCTTTAGTTAATGGGGTTAGATCTGAGCATGACCAGGCCCAGGTCCTGAGGTGTTTCAGAAAGGAGTTGGGGTGGCTATTGAGACCCCAGTTGAGGGCCAGGATTGGGGAGTTAGCCCAGCCTGCTGCTTCCCAAATTGCAAGGGAGCAAATTGCAAGATGGAGCAAAGCCATCAACGGCCAGTCCGAGGTTTCAGCACCAGATGAATGGTCAGTGGCATGCATACTCAAAGGCAAGACCAGAGAATGAAGAGGTTCAGGCCAGGTTTAATGAAAATGAAAGAAACCTGCTCAGGTAGAGCCAAAGACGGCATCCTTACCAACCACAGTTTGAGACAGCTTTTATATTGGGCTGTAAGGGATGGACATTCCACTGCTGAGCTGGGGATTTTGGTGGGCTGGGCAGGAGTTTAGGGGACAGGGCTAGCTAGGCCCTTTGTGGTCTTTGTTCCAGGAGGGGAAAAGGAGGAAGAGAGGGGAGGAGTTTACGTAGGGCCTCTTTAAGCCCACCAACAAGTAGTAAGTACAGGGTGTTTGTATGGTCTATGTCTAAAGTGGTCCCAGTTTAAGAAAATTAGCAAGTCATGGTTAGAAATTATACAAAGTTAAGGAGATGACTGTGGATGGCAGGCAAGAAGAGAGCCAAAGATATTGAAAATGATAAAAAATATGAAAGTGTCTCATACATGCAGAGAAATAAAAGAGAAACTTGAAAATCTGAGCCAGGAACAGGAGATAGATGCAATCATACTTGAATAATGAAGGAAAAATATGATTGAAACTTACAAACATTGAAAGAAGGAACGGAGAAGAGACTGCAATCAAAGAAATAATGGGAGAGAATTTCCCAAATTTGTTGAAAGAGCCTGATTGTCAGAGTAAAAAGCCCAGTGAAACCCAGGCCATATTAATATAAAGAGACATAGATGTAGATGTAGATAACAAATACAAAGGGTAGGTTACCAAAATAAATTGGAGAGGACAGCATCACCTGCAGAAGTATGGCTCTATGAGACAAATAATGAAACTCTTAACATCCACAGTAGGAACCACAGGCAGTCATATGATAAATTTAAAGGACTGATTAAATCATCAAGAATTCTATGCCAAATAAAACAAGAGTATGTGCCAAACTTGAGCGTTTACCACCAAACAGCCCTCACTAAATGGATTCTAAAGGCTATAATTCAAACCAAAGGAAAATAACCTCAAATGTAGTGTCTGAGTTGCAAGGAGAAAGAGCCAAGATAAATATGTGATAATCCGAACAAACTAGTGATTATATATGAAACAAAAACAACTTATGGGGAAAGAAAGCAGGCTAGATTTACAATGCCAAGTTACAGTAACATACAAGTTGGGGTAGGGTGGGGTGTAAGATCCACAGACTGTCCATACACAATGCCTATTGATTATCTCCAGCTGTTATTAAATGTATATGAAACAGGACCAACTCTAATAGAATAGACCCAGTGTATGCCTTTGAAGGAAGCAGAGGAAAAAGAACCAACAAGTACAGAGAAATAAGAGTCCAAATGAAGAGAGGAGAAAAGGAACAAGTAAAATTGGACAAATCAAAAGTTCAAAATGGGATGTTAGAAATAAAACTATATCACTAATCACAGTAAGTGTAAGTGAACTAAATTCTCCAATTAAACCTTTATTTGCTATATTTTAGAAACACAACAAAAGTTCAGCTATTTACTCATCACAACAAATAACACATAAGACACCCAGAAAGATTAACACCCAAACAATCAAAAAGATAGTTCAGGAAAATATTAAGCAAAAAGAGGCAAGGATGGCCAGATTAATATCAAAGCAAAAAGTATAACTTGAAATAAGGAGATTTGCTACATAATGATCATTTCATTTACTGGGAAAATGTATTCATTTAAAATTTCTGTGTACCACATGAATTTGTGTATAACCTCATAATAAATAAAGCCAGACTGATGGAATTAAAGGGAAAAATTATCAAATCCATCATCATAGTAGGAGATTTTTGTGCATTTCTTAGCAATTGGTAGATCAAAGAGACAAAAAAAATCAGTAACAAAATAGAAAATGTATGGTAAAACTATGGAGCTTGAATTAACATGCTTGACTACGTCTGACATTTGGAAAAGGCACATTCCTTTTGAGCATACATGGAACAGTTGCTAGGTGGACACACCCCAAACATAAAGCTTGCTACAATACACTTCAAAAGATCGGAATCTACCTGACCACATTTCTTACCACAATTCAATTAAGATAGAAAACAAAGCCCAGAGGATAATTAGGAAAGTCCACTCACTTGGAAGTTTAATAACAGATAATCAATTCATTGGTCCAGGGAGAAATCATAATTGAAATTACAAGATTTTACCATATAATTTTTCACTTCAAATGCATGGGGTATAATACTTGGAAGGAAATGTTTCCCTTTAAGAAAACTGAGAAGGCTCAAAATGGAACTAAGATCAAATTAAATCAAAGACCCACAGAAGTAGAAGGAAGGAAATTAAAAGGACAGAAGTTCACTCAATAGAAAAACATACAAAAGAAGAGATCAACAAGGCAAAGCAATCTATTCAAAAAGACAGGTTTTTTTGAAAGGCACAAATGAAATGGAATGGAAGAAACATAACCATAGATGTTATAGAGAAAAGATAAGAGGGTATTAAACACAGCTCTCCACATACTTCAGAACCTTGATATAATGGATGACTTCCTAGGGAACTTAGCAAAACAGACTGGAGAGAAACACAAAATCAGAATCATCCTTTAACAATCCATTATCCATTGTAAGGGAAAAGCAATCAATAGTTAAAATCTTCCCATAAAGAAAACACTACATCCAAATGGATTTATATAATTTCATTGTTACAGAGAGTAGAAAAGATAACACTTTTGACTCATTTTGTGAAGCCAGCATTACCCTGACCCCAAACTCAAACAGAAGCAGAAAGAAAACTACAGGCCAATCTTCCTCATGTTCATGGACACAGAAATTCTGAATAAATATTGCCAGAGCCAGCAATGAATTCAAAAAGATGATACATCATGATTATGTTAGGTTTATTCCAACTAATTTAATTGATATTAGAATTTTTATTGAGAGAATTTACTGTATTAACAAATTTGAAGAGGGAAAATTCTATTATCTCAATAAGTAAAGAAAAAATAGAATTCCACATCCAAATATAACATTAAAATTTCCTAGCATATTTTTAGAAGGAAATTTTCTTAACTAGAAAAAGAACATCAATAAAAACACCCAGCAAACATAGAGAAGGACTCCCTTAAAGAAGAAACATAGAAAGGACTCCCTTTAAAATTAGGAATGTTCTTCAACATGTTTGAGGCAGCCCGTAGCATTATAAGAAGAAACAAAAGTTGTAAGGGTGGGAATGTAAAATGGTGCAGCTGCTGTAGGTCCCTCAAAAACTTCAACATAGAATTCATGTGTGATCTAACAATTCCAAAGAGATATGAAAGCAGGGACACAAACAGATGTTTATACACCTGTGTTCATAGCTGCATTATGCACAGTAGCCAAAAGGCAGAAGTAGCCCAAGTGTCCGTGAATGAATGAATGAATAAGCAAAATGTGATATAAACAAACAATGGAATATTATTCTGCTATTAAAAGGAATGATATTCTGACACACACTACAACATGGATGAACCTTGAGGTCATTATGCTGAGTGAAATAACCAGACACCAAAGGGCAAATACTGAAAAACTCTATTTTTATGAGTTTCCTAGAGCTGTCAGATTCATAGAGACAAGAAGTAGAATGGGGGTTGCCAGCGGCTGGGTGTTGGGGCTGAGGGGTTAGTGTTTAATGGGGACAGAATTTCTACTTGGAAAGATGAAAAAGTTCTGGAGATAGATGGTGGTAGTGATGGTACAAAAATGTGAATGTACTTAATGCCACTGAATTATATACGGAAGTGGCTAAAATGGAATATTATCTTTCACTGCAATTTTTTTTAAAAGTTGTGAGGACTGCCAAGGAAACAAAATGGCCTTTATTTATGATTGCACATAATCAGTGTTGTCCTGAATTCAATGCTTCCTACCAGGCCCTAGGGTTTATGAATGAGGATATGTGTCAAAACTATAAAATATGCCAAATTGCATGTAATTTTGCTGAGGAAAAGAACAAAAAACTTTCACTGGACAGAGTTGTCTGTGACCCAGGAAAGTTTAAGAGCCATTCTGAGTTGCCCCCTCCCATGCTTACTAACCCTCCCCCCACTCTGCCCCCTGTAGCTCTGCAGGTGCACAGGGGCTGTGACCAGACCCCCTGTTGGCAGTGGAGCACACACCTCCTGCCTCCTTCCCTCCCCTCCCTGCCTCTCTTTGCCCACCCAACACCATTCTTCTCTTTTGTTTTCTTCACTCAGGTTGTTTAAATACAATGCGAAGCATATTCTTAAATATTCATTGAATGTTGAATTCACTGAAGAAGGTCTTATAGAATAATGTGACTCTGAAATCAACCAAACTTCAGATTTTTGTCTGTTGTCCCTCATTTCCTGGATGACTGTACTAATCAGGTCCGGCTCTCTCACTGGGGGCCTGGGACCCAGAAAGCCCTCAAACCCTTGTCAAATGATCAGAATCCTCCAAGCCACGTCTGTAACCATAAACCATTTTTAACTGATTATTTTGCTTCTTATTTTGCATTTAGTGTGGAATTCCTGCGTGGTGGTGAGGATTCCTGAGATGATAATGGAGAAGGACCTCTCAGATGCCGCTTCAAAACACGAAGGGAATGAGGAATGTCTCCAGCTGACTAATTTGCACCCAAATGAATTCTGAGACTTTCCTTTTTAACAAAATGCTTTATTTTTATTTCTTGAGTTGCATCATTAAGATAACTATATGAAATATGAAGAGGCATTTATATATCTTGCTTTAACTCTCTGGTTACACAAAGTAGGTAGAAAAGATCTGCTGAAATAAAGCAAAACAGAAACCAAATAGTGTAAGGCATTAGGGGATACATGAAGGGAATACTGTGGTTTCTTGTAAACCACAGGGCTAGTCGTGGTTAGTAGTCGTCATAGTTGACGCTGGCTCCGTGCCGAAAGGAGTAAGGGCTCCGGGGACCAATTGCAGCATCTTCGTCATAGTGACGTTGGTAGTAATCCCCATAGTACTCGTGCCCATTGCGATCTCTGTTAAGCCAATAGGTGACGTCATCTTCAAATTTCTGGAAGGAGAAAGAGTGGTAGAGAATGATTCAAGAACACACATTCTCTTATCACCACATCTTACCTATGGCTTTTCTCTATGGTGGTTTTTATTCAGTGATTAACACCCCTTACTAAGAACAACTCCTTGTTATAGTATTCTTGTGCTCCGAGGTCAATGACATCAGCTAAAGAATGCTGCTATTAAAAGCTAATTTCAGACCGGCATGGTGGTTCACGCCTGTAATCCCAGCACTCTGGGAGGCTGAAGCAGGTGGATTGCTTGAGCTCAGGAGTTTGAGACCAGCCTGAACCAGAGCAAGACCCCCATCTCTAAAAACATCTGGGCATTGTGGCAGATGCCTGTAGTCCCAGCTACTCAGGAGGCTGAGCCAAGAGGATTGCTTGAGCCCAAGAGTTTGAGGTTGTGGTGAGCTATAATGCCATGGCACTCTACCAAGGGTGACAAAATGAGACTCTGTCTCAAAAAAACGAACAAACAAAAAAGCTAATTTCCCCCAAAGGACTGTATAACCATACCTTTGCCATACTCATTCTAAATATACCACGGGCTTAACCATTTTTCTCTTTCTGGGTAAATAAAGCAAACATCTCCCAAATATAGTAACAACTCCCTATGGCAGACACTGTTTTCCTGCCCTATTCCTGTTCGTGACCCTTTGGATGGCACAGAGCATATGCTTAATAAATGGTGGCTGAATTAAATCAACCACTGGTCTGGCTTATTACAGCTCCAGGGCAGAGTATTTGGGTACTTGTGATGGTAACTCTTTTTAGCTGTGTTGTTGGTTAAGGTGTGCACAAGTACGTTTGTGTATCAGCCCTGTGCTGGGCCCTGGAAGGCTGCCCACAACAGGGGAGTCTGCCTTCAAGGAAGCTTTAGTGCCTGAGAGGCAGCTAGGAAGAGACAGCTGCAGCGAATAAAAATAAAAGAGAAGAAGGACTAAAGCTGATAAGATGTGGATTGTAGAATGAAGTTCACTTTTCGGCCTGGGGAACTAGTCTTTGCTATTAATCCATTTTTTTTTAAGACAGGCTAATCTTTTTTTGGTGGTGGTGAAGGTGCGAAATCCATTTAGATTGGGCTTTGCATGTGTCAACGCTCAGGACATGGCATGGGGTTTAGTATGAGGGCAAAAAAACAAAAAAGTGGAGAGTTGACAAAGATGTCCTGGAAAGTTGAGGCAGCCACATAGCTTTGGAAGCAGGCCTAGTTTTACTCCACATGTGGCCAGAGCATCCCTGTAGCCACATCACAAATGCAGATTCTCAGGTACCACCCACTCTGCATCTCCTGGATGGACTTTTCCAGTGATGGGGTCTCAGCAATCTATTTTACTAAGACTGCCAATGAATAATTATAATTAATAATTTGAGAACTTCATGAGGCCCCATGATTACGCAGCCTCATGAAGCCATCCACTTTGGGTACACAGTGGGCCGGCTCGTGCCATGCTGAGGAGCCTGAGTCAAATTCCTCACCACTGTTTGCAACACCGGGCTCATGTTATCTCCTGAGCCCTCAGCCTCAGCCTTGGAGAAGGAGATGCTGACTTCTTTGCCTGTCTCCAGCCTTGCGTCTCTCACAATACTGCACTTTTGGCCAGAGTGAAATCTTGTTCTTTGTGTTTTCTAATTTTATACATTTGTATGGGGTTTTGGATTAAAATATGAATTGTCAATAAATTTTAAAAAATGAATACAGAAACAATTCAGACTCAGATTTTTAAAATCTTATGTGAGACGGGAACAAAGAAAGAGGGGATCATCTCATTTCTTTGCCAAAGCCCACCAACAGTGACCTCTGGTCATACTTAATTATAGACTTTTTATGTATATATGTTTATAATTTTGTTTGATCCTCATCTTTACTCTGCTCTAGTCACCAGACATTATTATAGTCATTTTCCCATGGTAATGCCTAATACTCATTTTAATGATGGTCATCAAAGAAATGCAAATTACTAAAAGATAATACAGCATTTTCATCTATCATATATTTTTAATTTTCAATGAGAACATCAGATGTTGCTAAAAATTCTAGCAAATTGGCTAGAATGACTTATGGGAGAATATAATTTGACAATACTCTGAGCTGCTTCAACATGATTGTAACCTTGGCCCAGGAACTCCACTGGGCAGAATGTGGTCCTAGGGACAAGATATACACAAAGAGGCGAATAATAGTATTTGCCTTTTGAGATGCTGCAAATATTAATTAAGCTCATAAGTACTTAGAATCAAGTCCAGCACAGGGTTTGGCTAATAAGTATTTAGCTATTTGTGCAGAAAACATACACACACACACACACACACACACACACACCATATATATGTATGCGTAGATACATAGGGAACAACCAATATGTCCAGTAGCTGGGAACGGGAAGGAAATTCTGTTACAGCCACATGCTCTTACTTTATGCAGCCATTAAAAATTATCTAAGTGGTTTAATTTTTTCACCTATTGCAGCACTTTGCATCCACTCTCTTTAGGAGCCTTGTGCTCATTTAGAAAATCACCTCCGGTTGCCCCGGTTGGAGATGTTGCCTGTGAATAACCCATCTGCTCCTTGGCTGGGCGGGCAGGCTCTGGGTTCTCCCCGCTACACTTAGCCTTACACCTGTTAGTCTGTAGGCAGAAACCTCTGCAGCAGGATCTGTGATCTCAACCCTGCTGCTGTCTTACCTGTACCCCAGTTGGGAGTCTGTGATTATAAACCCTTTTTCCGTAATTTGCTGAATTTGCCCACTAATGCTATCTAGGCAGGCCAGCTGTAAACAAACAATCTCTCCTACAAGTGCACTGGCAAAATTTCCCCAATACATCTGCAAAGACCAGTCTCTCTTTTAAAAGTCACTTTTCATCTTTTCCCACTATCACATAGGCCCTTGCATGGATGTGGTTCTGACATTTTGGGGGATAAAGTAGAAAAAGTTTTAGGGGATTGAGTTATGTTAAGGATGATTACTCAAAACTGTTCACAGCCAAGTTAAAAGGGTTTGAGCAAAATCAGATTCTCCTTGAATGTGTGGGGGGGTTTTTTGTTTGATTTTTGAGACAGAGTCTCACTTTGTCACCCTCAGTAGAGTGCCTTGGTGTCACAGCTCACAGCAACCTCAAACTCTTGGACTTAAGCAATTCTCTTGCTTCAGCCTCCCAATTAGCTGGGACTACAGGTGCCCGCCACAACTCCGGGCTATTTTTTTGTTGTAGTTGTCATTGCTGTTTAGCAGGTCTGGGCCAGGTTTGAACCTGCCAGCCCCAGTGTATATAGCCAGCACCCTAACCACTGAGCTACAGGGCACAGCACCAGGATTTTCCATGAATCTTAAGTGCCAGCCATTTTAGCCTCTGACTTCTATGGATTCTGCTTCCCAAACATATCCTGGGGAGAAGTCAGCTGATGTCACCACACTGTGGGTAACGTAATCTGGTGCCATGTAAGGAAGCTCGTATTTCCAGAATGATTAGCAAATCCTCTTTCTCTGGGTCCTATTTCCTGAGCCAGGCCTCTGTCCCATCACCTTGCCCAAGGGAGCCTCCAGCAGGAGAGAACACCCACCGCCTCGTCGAAGCCCATGTAGAGGAACTGCTGGTACCACTGCTGCACCTCGGGCCGGCTCCGGTCCCACAGCTGCCTCTTCTGGCGCTTCAGGCTGGTGAGGAATTCCTTGGCTTTGCTCTCATGGACAGCCACTTTAGCCTTAGCTGGAGCAGGTGCTGAAACTATCAATTCCCCAGCCCCCCGCATACACAGAGTGACTTCTTACTGGGAAGAACCACTGTGACATATCCCAGTTCCCCGCCCCCACACCCACCGCTCCCACCTTTGACTCTCAACTTCCTTCCTACATGCATGTGACGATCCATAGCCTCAGCTTCTTGTTAGTGATCATCTGAGAACAGCCATATAAAGGGGCACCAGGTAACCTTCACCCTCTAGGTCTCAGGGCAGAAGGAAATCTAGCTCAAGCCCTGCAGTCCACGCGCCACACTGGCACCCAGGCCTCCCCATGCGAGTGTCTCCCCCCTGGGGCTCTGTGTTCAGAAAATGACCTGGATACCTAGTGTCACACCCGTGTACGGTGCATGTACATTGTCTATGCAAACAAGGGAGGCCTGTGCCTGCTGGGAGCCTGCATAAGGAAAGAGAACCGAGGCTGAGCCCCCAGTGAGCAGGAACCAGACTGGCTTAGCAGCACAGTGGCTTGGTATCAGGCTGCTGGAGCTGGCAGTACTCTAAGAGCCGCTGTCTCTGGGCCTCACAGGCTGATCACTGAAGATCCCAATAGGGTCTTCAAGGTCACTGACCCTTTAACTCTGCTGCTTCTCATATCTTTCCATCATAGTCTCAGTCATTTAGAGGGAACTGCTTCTGCAGGCTGTGTTCAGGGGAAGTCGCTGTGCCATGGGACTTGCTGCCTCTGCTATCTACTTTTGAGCCTCTGTGCCTTCATCTAACTATACATCTGGACAGGCAGCAGTCTCTATCTTGGTGTTGTTAGGAAGAATGCACAGAATAATGGAAGTAATTCACCCGATGAGTCCATGGGTCACGTGCAGAAGTATCAGCTGGGCTTGCTTCTTTACAAACCCTGTAGGGCTTGTTATACTCTTTTGTATACAGTAGGCGCTCAGTATGTATTTCTTGATTTGCCCTGAATAAAGTCTGAGGGATGCAGACCCACACGCCTCCAGCCACCCTGGAGCTGGGGGATAAGCCAAGCCCTCATGGGTGGCTGGAATGTGGGGAAAGATTCAGGGAGTTCCCCCAGGAACTCCCTGGTCCCCCATGAAGAGCCACCTGTGCTCCAGCCACTTATGTGCCCCGGGGGCATGAAGGAAGCATGAGAAGAAATTCTCAGGGCCCTACTTTGGGAGGCAGACTTTAGCCTGTTAGAATCTCCCACAGACTTGAAGGGGAAAGAGTAATTGAAGAAATAGTCACATCAGAAATAGAGTCATGCCTTTTCATTTCTAAGGGGTACTTAGTTTTACAGACGAAGGGAAAATGACATTTGCCAGTGATCCAGCTGATCTAACTGACTACCGTGGGCACAGAACTTGTATTTTATGACTTCCAGGCTGTTCAATTTCTGCGACATTTTCCTACTGTCTATCACATTTATCTTAGGAGCATTTTTCACAACAGAGGTTACCAAAACATTTCCTGTTTTACTGCCCTTCCCCAGTGGCTAATTGGACATACAGGTTGCTATGACAGTGCTATACCATGCCTCTCCACCAACTGAGATTTTCTTTACACTGAAAGATATGCTCTAAATTTAGATACATGCTCTAAGGTGCTTTTGTAGTCCTAAAATAAACAGCATCAATTAACACTGTAGCACTGTTTTTTTTATTTCTGAGTCCACACTGACAGCTTACAGAAGAACAACCTTCAAACATTTACTGGAAATAATATTTATCTAATAAAATACCGTAACTCAAACCCAGAGAATAAGCCCTTCCGATCGGCTAACCTTTTAAGGAGTAAACACTTTTGATCTTCCAAATACAAGACTCCAGCGAGCACACTATATATTGCCATCTCATTTCCATCCAGTTAAGAATGCATCCCTTATCCACTTGGGTTATATTTACCTTCTCGTTTTTGAAGCATTAGCTTGAGTTTATTTCCACTTATGCCACCTAAAGAAATGAAAATTGAAACCGGTTTCAGAGTTGCACTGTACCCTTAAATTTATCAAAAGCAAAAAATCATAGTTGGAAAAAAGAAGGGCATGCCTGGCCCTGACTTGGCAACGTGGGGCTGCTTGTTGCCTTCCGGCTGTCCAGGGCAAATACTGCTGACAATGACCATGGCTGACTAAGGGCATTATTATTTGAACAAGTGCCAAGGAAAAGTGACATTGTTCTTTCAGCCTTTATATCTTCTTATGAAGGTCATCTGTCACGTGTGCCTACCTCCCTGCAAAACTTGACTTCGTGGTATAATGTGTTGAACAGTGTCCACCCCAAATTCATATCTACTAGGGATCTTGAATGTGGGCTTATTTGGCAATGGGCTCTTTGCAAATATAATTTAAGGCTCTCGTGATGAAATGCTGGATTTATAATAGGCTCTAAATCCAGGGGCAGGTGTCCTTACAGGAAGAAGAAAGGATCTAGGGACAGCAGCCATGTGAAGACAGAGGCAGGCAGGAAAGGGAGTAAGGCACTAAGGAATCTGCCTTAGTGCTCTAAAAATTCAGTCTGATTTTGCAGCTGGCCCAGATCATCCTATAATAAAGCATTATTTGTACCATTGCTGTTATTAGTATTCAATTTTTAAAGTGTCTCTAATCAGCTTAGTTCAATAATCTTAAGAGAAAATAACATGTCTGGCCTGATAGAACCCCCCTCTCGACCTCACTCGGTGAAGGGATTTGAGGATCTGCAGAAGCCTCTGCACACACCAATGAGGCTTTTCTCAGGAAGAGTGAACCCAAAGCCCCTGGAGAAACACCCCGTGGCACCCTAAATAGTAAGCAAAGCATCATCACGCATAAGGGACTAGAGTCTGGCCCCAGGATGAAGAAACACACTGAGGTGGCTGTGGCCACTTTCTTGCCAGGCTTTTTAACCTCTCAGGCCATGGACAGGCACCAGGGGGTCTGCAAAGGTAGTAAAAATTGTGTTTATACCTACAAAGGCACAATCTTCTGGGACTAGGGTCCACAGCGTTTGCCAGACTCTTCAAAGTGTCTGCGACCCAAATAAGATTAAGAATGCTTGATGTATTTGTCAATTAAATGTCAAGAAAGCTGTAAAAAAAAAATTTTTTTTTAAAGCCCCTGCGTAAAGAATTTACTATGTAGTTGGTGAGAAAGAGAATGATAGCCAAAAGTTAGAAACTGGTTGCCCACAGTGAAACTCCACCTATGGATACATTTTCTTAGCATCCCCAGTGTTTACAAAATTTGAATTTGAACACCTCTGGGGCTGAGTCACTTGGCGTGCTTAGGGTCCATAAGCAGCCACCTCACACCAGCCCCTGTAGGCATCTGGCTGCTGCCCAACTGCCATGCAGGGAGCTTGCCGACCTGGTCTCCACGGTGGGATGGAAAACCTGCTAGAACTCACTATTTCCCTCTCAAGTGCTTTCTCAGGATTCAGAGGTAGGGTGGCCTCTTCCCAGCTGTTCAGGGACAGCCCCAGTGTGTGCCTACTGTCCCAGCAAATTAACAAGATCGCTTCCTTTTGTTCTCCAAACTGTTGCAGCTAGCATGAGAAATTATATGGCTACCCTATTGTGAGAGGTTTAATATCAAGGAAACGGCTTGCGAAAATCTCCATGGACCACATTGAAGGGGGAGGGACAGAGGCGGTTGTTGCCCTCAAACCCTCCTTAGAAGGGCTGGGAGTCCGTGGGGATTGAACAAGACTAGTGATGTAGTGCCCAGCGGCCTGGGGGAATGCTGTGTGTTCACCTCTGTGCTCAGATCAGACTATGTGGTTGTTTAAAAAGCACCTGCAATGTTAGGCTGTAGTCACAAACACTGGTGGGAAAAGGAAGTAATTATCCTGTCTCTGTTGTGTCATTGCTCTGAGCAGACCTCCCCTCTACTATTCTGTCTACATTTCACTTGAAGGTCACCGAGAAAATGAAACTGCAGTAGAAGGAGGGGGCCTAGATGTTTGTCAGATGAGAAAAACGTTAAAGGAATTTCAGTGTTTAACCTGGAGAAATGAAATTTGTGAGAGGAGGAGAGTTGTGACGCTAAGAGGCCCCTGGGCCATCAGGGGATGAAGTAAGGTTTTCAACACCTGGGCATCCACCCAAAGATAGAACAAGTGGCCCCAAGAGGTTCCGTAAGAACACAAACACTGGGCCAGGCTCCTATAGACAAGGCCAGTCTCATCAGAAGGGGGGAGCCTACTCTTACAGGCTGTACTTTCCTTTCATGCTTAAGAGTCGATGACAAAATCTATGGAAATATTTGCCAAGGCAGACAGATTCATTCCTTGGCACTAATATTAGCATTTGTTAATATCTTAACATTTGTCGATCTCTGGCAACTCACATGGTAGCACGTACAGATTAAGTATGGTCCCCCCATCTGTTTGCCGTCTGCAAACGTGCTTAACAGTTAATGAAGGAAATGTGGTCTGATGTTGAAACAGACATTGGGTGTAGGCATTTGTGATGAGGCTGTGATTTCTTGGAGCAAATGTGTGTGTGTCACTACCACTCCAGAAATGAGAGCCTCACCTAACCTCAGCTACATGGCTGTAAAACACGAAGTCCCTAATTATGAATTAGGAGCGCCTCCACTGTGCCAATTACTACACATTGAATTACATACAGGGACAAAGTTCATGGTTAATGGCACACTATTTTAAATTGCACATGAACTTTATGGACACCCTGTAGCAATACATATATTTGGACACCACGCTAATCTATTTGAAGAAAGTGATCAAGAACAATAGAATAGCTGTGATTTTTTTTTTGGCGTATGGAATTTTTACCCAGCATCATTAGTTATTAATTGTAGGCTATGATAATATGCACTCCCAAATTTATTAAATCTAGTTATCTGGCATTTGATCTTCTTTTTTTTTTTTTGAGACAGAGCCTCAAGCTGAGCCCCTGGGTAGAGTGCCCTGGCTTCACTGCTCACAGCAACCTCCAACTCCTGGGCTCAAGGGAGTCTCCTGCCTCAGCCTCCCAAGTAGCTGGGATTACAGGCGCCCGCCACAACGCCCAGCTATTTTTTGGTTGCAGCCATTATTGTTGTTTGGCGGCCCGGGCTGGATTCGAACCCACCACCTTAGGTGTATGTGGCTGGCGCCTTAGCCACTTGAGCCACAGGCGCCAAGCCAGCATTTGATCTTCTAACAAATTCAGAACTGCAAGATGCCTGTCTAAAAATGATAAGTATTAGTAAGCTGATCAAGAAGGGGCTATGATAATTTTCTCCATTAAGCATTTCGGGGGTACCATAAAAAATCTTCATTTTATGTCATAAGAAATTTCACTTCTCAGTTTGATGACAGTGATGTCCGAACTGACGCCTACCACTAAGTTCTTGGTATGAACTAAATAAAATACGAGTGTGAAAATGAACAGCTGTAGCCAAACCTCTTATCCTTAAAATGGGGAGAACGAAGGAGGGGGCGGATAAATCACGCACTGGGACATTATTAATTAGCTTCACCCGTGGTTTTAATTTAGAGCAGTAATCATCGTGACCTGAACAAGCCTGGCTTGTTCTAGCAATCCCAGGTTCCACCCCAGGCTGCTACTGCTTGACTCTGCCTCCCCTCAACCTGGAGTTTGGTTTTCATACCTGTTTTGAATTAGACAGCGCCCAGCTACTGTGCAGGGACATGCACCAGTTTCAAGCTCTTGGGAACACATTCCAGTCCTGTTCCCCTAGCAATAAATCTGGAGTCACGGTACCTGCCTCCCAGAGCTGTAAGCTTCAAAGGCACTCATGTGTCCACAGGGTCACCATAAAGGCTCATACCAGCCCAAGGCGGTAACTCAGATTGCATTCCTCACGTGGAGTGTGTGGACCCCAGGATTCGGCTGTCTGACACCCACCAACTGCTCCATTTACCGTGTGCATGTGAATGCACTTTTTACAAAGAGCCAATGAGGAATTTTCAGAGTTTTCAACAGATTCGCTGAGAGCTTCATGAAGTAGGAAGGTTAAACACTACTTTAAAAAAGCATTTCCCCCTATCTGGGGCATGAGGTCTGCTCCCGGTTGGGCAGACGCAGCTCAAACCTGCAGGAAGTACATCTCCAACTCTGTTGCCCAGCCACTGCCTGGAAGGAAGTCGCGGTGATGATGCCACTTGCACCACCTAGTTAAAGCCTTACTTCCCACTGCCCTCTCATTAAGCCCCGAAACACTTCTTACCCACCCCCCCGCTACGTCTGGCCCTCCCTTCCCAGTTATCCCCAAGAGACTCTCCCTTTGACCTTGGTCTTCTCATCACCCTCCCAAGAGCACCAATTGGCGCTTGTGCAAGTGCAAATCCTTGACCTAGTGTCCCATCATCCTCTTGGCCCTACCTGGGCTAAGGATGGGTCCCTACACTGCTGCCCCATCACCAGCCTCTCTCCCTCAGGCACCATTCTGGGCCAAGCCCACCCCCGGGCGGAGCACTGCTGTCAGCCTGGCATCACCCCACTCACCTGGGCCCAAGCACAGCAGCAGCAGCAGCGCCAGTCCGGTCAGGACAAGCACCGCAGGCCGCGCAGAGGAGGTGGCCATGGTGGCTGCAGGCAGGCAGGCGGGCAGGAGGGCAGGAAGGCGAGGGGCGCACTGAGAGCCTCTGCGGGAGGACAGGCAGCACGGGAGAGGGTCGCAGGCAGGCCGGCGCTTCCGCGAGTTATCCCTGTGTAGCTGCTGGGGCGGGACCCGGCGGGTGGGCGCCGAGCCAGGGAGTGGAGCTGGGGCCAGGCGGCTGCGCCTACAGCCGGCTCTCCCGTCCCCGCCCCGCGGAGGCCTGGGTCGTGGGCTCCAAAGCCAAGGATGCTTACGAGACGGGAGACCCGGGGAACTCATCAGTGGTGCGCCACGTGGCCGGCGCTGCCTGCCGCAAAAGCGGTAAGGACAAGCTGGGATCTGGCGACCCAGGGAAGGGCTTATGGCATCCAGGAGCAGCGCAAAGGACACCCACCCTTCCACCCCTGGCCACGCACTGGGAGCACTTGCCGGATCCCAACACTCGGGTCCATCCCTCACTTCCACTTTCTCCCGCGCTGCAGCCGCGCGGGCTGCGCTGGCCTCCTCCTAGCTTGGCGCTAATTCTTCACCCCTTCCTCCCCATCTCGCTCCCTCCTGGCGGCTGGCGGCTCCAGGCTTTGGTCCTGCCTGGCTTATAAAGTGGTCTTTGGAATTTCCTTAATTCCTGAGCTACTCTTTAACGGTGCCTTTAGCAATGCTGTGTTTTATGATATTTTGAAAGACTCCACAGTCTGGGTTCAGAGCTGCAGTCCAGGAAATCATCCCGCCCAAACTACTCCAATAGAAAAGCCTTTGAGAGACCAAGAGCCTGAGGTCCTGCAGCTCGGAGCAAAACCGCAGCAAAAAGTGTGCTCTGCAGTCCAGTGAAAAGTCAAGTGAGGCCCCTGGGAGCGCTCATCTTCATCCCAGCCCCAGGCCTGTTCACACAGAGGCAACGCAAGCACGAAAGGTGGTGTGGTGCAGGGAACAAACAACTAGAACAAACCTACTCCAACTGACTTTGAGCATGTCACCTACATTCCTCTCTCTAGGCCTGAGCTGCAGAATGGTGCTCATGCCAAATCTGCCCTGAACTCAGCTGATTACTTCTTTTCTTCCTCTGGGTTTTTATTTTTATGCCTTCCAGTGGTAAGTGCTCACCTTCTGGCCATATAATGCAGTTGGATTTCTCTAGCAGGCAGGAGTAAAAAGTCTTTTAGCACTGAGCTAGCAAAGAGGCAGATGTGGCCAACCAAAGAAAAAAGTGTGAAGTGAAATAACAATCCTGCCAGGTGCCAAAGGCGATCAGAAGGAAATGCTGTGAGCCCTTGAGGAAACTGTGAAAGGGAGGATAAGATTAAATAAAGCAACTAGGTATATGTTTACTTTCGCCTGAGGACAAGACATTTATCATTAGGAAGATAATCAAAGCAAATAAAAAGTCAATGCCTTGTTTGACTTGGCTTAGAATATACATTAAACATAATAACTATAATCTCTTGTTTATCTTATGGAGATCATTCCCGGGACCTCAAATCTTTACTAATCTCTGCTTCTAATAGAACTTTTATGTTCTCTTCATTATCAGGATCTGATTAAAACTGAGGTCAGGTAACCAATGAAGACAGGAGCCACCTGCCTGGACAGTTGTCTTCTTCCATATTTCAGAAGCAGACTTACATTTTATACCTTCTCATCCTTCAGTTCTCATTTACAGCTGGGAATATAGACCAGTGATTTTATTTTTCCAAGGAGGAAAAATAAAAGATTTTTTTCTTTTAGAGAAAGATTCCAAGGAGGAAAAAAGTTTGCTTTAATCAGCTCCTACAATTGTAAGATTTGAAGACAAGGTAAATATTGAATCCCAATTTTTATGGGCCTATAATAAAATAAAACCTTGATTATGAAGTATAGAATTGGTAAGACAATTATTTTAAAATAATTACCAATAGGTGACGGGAACATTTTCTGAGAATTAGGCTGTTTCCTCTTCCCAGAGAGTGAACAGAGATGGACTCTACTCACCTGTAACCTCCAAACTGCTTAAGGCGACATGGAGTTGGGGAGCTACAACCTATTGCATGCAAAAGGCAGTGATGAGAAATGGATTTCTCCAGTTTGGGAGGCTGGATGTCTAAGATCAAGGTAGTGGCAGATTCAGTGTCTGGTGAGGACTGGCTTCCTGGTTCACAGAAGACACCTTCTGTATCCTTCTCACAGGGTAAAGGGGTGAGGGAACTCTCTGGGGTCTCTTTCATACGGGCACTAATCCCATCAATGTCCCAAAGGCCCCACCTCCTAACATCACTGGGGAGGTAAGATTTCATGTATGAACTTGGGGGAACACATTCAATCTAGCAGTTAAATAATGCTCACTACATATGAGGCGCTGTGAGAAGTCCTTTCCTTCCTATTTGCTTGGATTTGTCAGCTCTCTCACATGCAAGACCCTCCTTTTACCCTCTGCTAAATCTGGTCTGATCCTTCATTCCAGTGTTTCTCAAACTTGGTCTGAAAATACCAAGGTGCTTCTTAGTGTAGATTCGTGAGTCATGTGCCCAGGAATCCTGTAGGTCTTGGATGGGGCCCAGAAATCTGTTTGTTTGTTTGTTTGTTTTTTAAAGAGGTTTCTATAGGATGCTGATATAAGTGATCTCTAGATTGCATGTCAAGAAATTCAGTACATTGAGTTCTCAACCAAAACTCACCTGTCTCTCAGTTTCCAGCTGGCCTCGGTGACTTCAATATTGACATTTTTTTCTAACCCCACGTTCCATACTGACCCCAGAAGCTTCATTTCTACAATTTGGTGCAGTAGCTAAGGACATGGGCTTTGGGTTTCAGTTCTTTCTGTATTGTGAACTAATAAATACATCACTTGTCCTCTTCAGACCTGGAGTAAAATGGGGCAATATTATCTAGCATACTGGGATAAGAGATCACATGTACATATCCTGGTATACAGTAAACACTCAGTAGATGTTAGGAATTGTTGTCATTACCAAATCTTCCCCCTTTACCTTGTGCTTTGTACCTAGTGTCCTAGCACCTGTCTGCTGCTCCTCCCCTTACCCTGGCTCAGGAACTCTCATTTTGAATGGATTTCAATTCATCCTATTGGACAATCACACATTGTCCAGCTCACCTCAAACACAGCCTAGATATGGCATCCCCAACCTCCAAATGCCACAGTGACCTCAATGGTCCTTTCTCCTGGCTTCTAGTTCACAAATGTCTGGCTAAAGAGGACCACTGGAAGTGCCATCACCTTGTGAAGATGCCAGCAGCCTAACGCACACTGGGGAAGTTCTATGGGACAAAAAACATAAGACAGAGGGCAGGGTCTAAGGCAGAGCTGCCTGTAATTATAAGATGCCTCAGAAAAAGAGTGGCCAGCCCAGATCCACCTTGCCTCTGCATCAAACAAGCCAACAATAAGTGATATTTGATGGTGGAATGGATTTCCTATTAAGATCGCTATTTTTTTAGGTGTGAAAATAGTAGTACAGTTTCATTTTGTAAAGCTCTTATTGGTTAGAACTGTATACGGGAGTATTGGTGGGTAAAATGATATAATGTATGGGGTTTTCCTTAAAATATTTCAGGAAAAATCATTGTCAAATATTGATAATTCTTTTGCCAGGAAACCACTTATACAGTCCTCCACCGCCAATTATGTGTGCAGGTGCTATGGTCTGAATGTTTCTGCCCACTCCCACCAAAGTCAAATGTTGGAATCCTAGTCCCCAAGGTGATGGTATTGGAGGTGGGACCTTTGGGAGATGATTAAGTGATAAGGGCAGAACAAGGCCCAGAGAGCTCTCTTGTCCCTCCCACCAGGTGAGAACACGGTGAGAAGGCACCATTATCTAAACTACAAAGTGAGCTCTCACCAGACACCAAATTTGTTAATGCCTTGACCTTGGACTTCCCAGCCTCCTGAACTATGGAAAATGTATTTCTGTTGTTTATAAGTCTCCCAGTTTTTAGCATTTTGTTACAGCAGCTTGAGTAGTCCAAGACAAAGAGGGATTATGCTAGTTTCTATTTGTGTATATTATATTATACATGAATTTACATTATAATTTACATTATATTATGAATTTTTATAATAAAATTTAAAATAAAAGATTTTAGTGACATCATTATCTATAAAATATATAACATACATATGACCTCCAGGCTCTCTATTTAGCCTTTAAACTTATACAACAGTAATTATTTCCTTAGACTTTCTATATTTTCCCAACTTCCCCAAAACTCAGTTCTTGAGTATATTCTGTGCTTCTATACAGAGGTGTGCTTTTCTTACACCATTCCCCTGCTCTGTGATGCCTTCGGGTCCTCATCGCAGCTAGTTAAAACCTACTGGTCCAGTTACCTATCACTGCTTAAAAAATGACCCAGACTTAGTGACTTAAAACAACCATCATTTTATTACAGTTCATGGGCCTGTAGGTCAAGAATTTGAGAAAAACTCAACTGATAAGTTCTTCTGCCCACGTGGTATTGTTGGAAATCATTTGAAGGCCGTTGGCTGGCAGATAGGCTGGACTGGAGAGTCTCAGACAACTCCACTCACCTGTCTGGCACCTTGGTAAAGGTGGCTGGGAGGCTGAACTGCTGAACTGTCAACTGAAGTGCTAACATGTGGCCTTCCCAGAATGGTGGTGTCGGCTCCCAGAGATAGTATTCCTAGATGAGCTATTCCAAAAGACAAGAAGAGAAAGCTGCCTATATCTTAAAGTCTTATCTTGGTAACTGATACAAATCAATGCCACTGTAGTCTATTGATCGAAGCAGTTACAAAACCCACAGGCATTCAGGAGGAGGATATAGATCCCATTTCTCAAGGAGAGAATGCCAAATAATTTGTACGCATCTTTACTCTGCAACACCTGCCCACCTGTCAAGGTCATGTACTGGTGCTACCTCCACCAGGGGTCTTTCCTACTTCTCTTTTTGGGCCAGAGGTATAATTACTTTTGAATTCCTGCAAACCTTCCTCCCCCTCTGAATGTTTTCTACTCTGCCTTACATTTATGTGTATGCCTTATTTCTCTTTCCTCTTTTGGATTCTAAGATGTTGGCATCTCAATTTGTTTGTTCTCTTTGAATTACCTCATAGA